TTTATGAAAGTTTTTGTGAGAATTATTCACCCACAAATTGGTACTTTCAAATCTCATTTCTCAAAGCTAGAGAAAATGCAACAGAACTCTGTTTCTTGCAAAGCAAAGGACTTTTCAGTTACTTAAGTAAAACAAACAAGGTAACAACAATATTGTTTTCACCCATTTGGGCCACTATCCATAACATAAAAAATTAGAATCGACAAGCATAAACTTTTATATTCTTTTCTTTCCAGATATGAACAGTGTTACATGGAAAAAAATCCCACACTCCATGTCAGCCACTAGATGGTTGCCGCGTGGACGTCGCCACGTGGCATTATAAGTATTAAACGACCGGGCCAGCCGAACGCAAAGGGATCTTATCATCCTAGGGACGCAAACTCTAGACGCCGATCGTAAATAGGAAATAAAGCCCTCAAGAGGACGACCGTACTGAAGAGTGCGTCGCAACACACTGTCAAACCCACTCACCCCTGGGAATGAAGACCGCTTCAAGGAACACTAAAGCGCCGACCCCATCCACGTTCGTAAGGTGTGGCAGCTTTTCAGAGATGTGGCGAGCATTTAATGCATGCAGAGGTAGTGGCAAGGCGGGTGGTCAGAGTTAGTGGAGAACGAGGCCGACCAGCCAACATCTCGATCACCAAAAGACACTGTTCCGAGGAGTGGCAAGACCACTTCAGAGTACGGTCAAGGGTTTGGCGGGAATGACAGTATATAAATATGAGAAGAAAAGATCAGGCAAAGGGAGCTCTTTTCGAGACACACCCTTAAGACCTCTTCTCTCCCAAAAAAGACTCGGTTGTAAAATTATTCCAAAATGTCTTTCCCCCAGAGAATCGTAACTTAAAAAAAGAAATAGTAAGATGCTCTCACGCACTGAACGTAGCTCTATATTGGAGTGAACCACTATAAACCCTGGTGCCACATTTCCCTCTCTCTGGCCTTTAATCATATTCTAAATCCACTCACAAACATCAAAAATTTACCATTAACCTGTTGACGAGTTTTTACCGTCAACAAACAGTAAGAAAGGCTATGTAATATTTACATTCACCTAATTGCATAAAACAATTTTATCAGGTTTCTAAAACTCATAGGCAAAAATCAGAAAAAGAAAAGAGAAGAAAATAAAAGGATATTTTCAAGTCAACCAAACCACCAAATGCAACGGGAAAGTATGATCTCAATTTCTTATTAAAAAAAGTATGAACGATAATGAAAGTGTCTGCCAATAACATCTTCTCCATGATTAGATTATAAGCATGTAAGAAACATATAATCAAGGAATACCTGTAGGAGTGTCAAATGCAGGCAACAATCTCCGGGCTAAGTCTTCAGCCAAGTGAAGTAACTGATTGTCATAGGCTGGAATTTTCATACCCTACAATGGAAAGATGTGGAAAAGATTCAACAAAAATCTGATTACAATTCATATATCAACACGTGACACAAAGCAAGGGAAAGGCATAATTCTTGTTGTTAGAATTGTCAACTGTCCATAGAAAATGGCTAATGGCCAGCACAATATTAGATGCGCAGTCTGTTAGGATCCTGCTTAAACTTAGATCTATACAACCGGAAATGGAGGCAACTCGTAAATGAGTTTAGCTTCTTTTATTGAATTTACTCTCACTCTCAATCTGGAGAGGAGCTTTCTTACACTGATCAAGCAACAGAAAAGAAAAAGAAAGATAGCAGAAATAACAATGGAGAATTCGAGGTTCTCCTTCCTCCCAAGGACTGCTAACAGGATTTTTCCAAATCAACAGACAACCCTCACGTTCCCCCCCTCCTTCCCTAGATATGCTCTCCCAGGCTAAAAAATTCCTAACCAACTTGCCACATCAGCTCTCGTACCCAGTATTTCCCATATTTCCATTTCCCACCCCCTTGTCTTGAACTATTGCCCCACGCCCCTTTCTCCTAGAATAGACTGAGGTAACAGGAGGCCTAACACAGTCTCTTGGATAGCTGAAAACAATTTTATCTTATTTCTTGGACAAAACAACTGTGACTCTTTAAACAATGGTGACAAAATATTAAATTATCTAATAAAACGTAAATAAGTACCTTCTAGTTCATTCCAGGCATTAAAAAATAAATAAATTAAATAAATTAAAAATATATATATCTCGTCTAGCATATAAACATAGAGTTATCATCTCATTTATACCGTGGCATAGTCACTTGCTATAAGATGTGCCGAGAGTAAACCACCAAGGACACGAATGGAAGTCTCAAATAGCGAAACTGTCTTATTCTGCACAAGGATCACCAAAAACAGAAAGGCAAATGAAGTTAGTCTTACATCTAAAATTTATTGCATAAAAATCAACACTAAGCAAAAAAGGTTGATGCATCCAAACAACTAAGAAAAGGGTCACAAAAGAACAAAATTTCCATAAACTGATAGCCAACATATGTAAAACACAATATATTTGAAATCTCAGATGCTAATAGCAAACATCATGTGGCATATAGAATTCTGACGCCAAGTCATACAACAACTAATAACTTGATAAACCTCCCATGAAGATCACTAGAAGCAAAGTTCACACTAGATAACATCGATGAAAGCAGGATGCTTCTCACATCTTAAACATGCCATGATATCAATCCGACATAGCCAGCTTACGAACAAGAAAAAGCATTACTCACTATATCAAACCGAAGGTTTTTACCAATCCATTCAACAGAAGCAGCAAAGCGTTCCCAATCACCAAGTAAAGCCAGTGTGTCTAAAGAGTCAATCTGAGACAATGAGATAACAGAAACACTAAAAATAAGGATAATTTTTAAATCTTACACAAAGTAAAATCCAAAGCGTAGAAATGTAATTTCTCTTACCAATGTTAAGGCATAACCACCAAGCGAGTCTTCCCCTCCACAAGATAGAGGTCTTAATTCATCAAGTGGAAAAGCATTCTCCATGTATCCATTAAAGGCATGATAAAACATTTCTCTCACCTACATTGTAAAGTTGTATATAAATAAAACAGCAAATCAGTTATCAGATATCCATTTTGAGTCATTTTCACCACATTTCACAAGTCACAAGTAATCGTATCGGATTTCAATGTCACAAGACTATGGTAGATTAAATACTTTACACTTGGAAACTAGAATGGAAGAAGGGGAAAAAAAAAAAGAAACCAAAAAGAACTTTTCTACATTACTTAAACACACACACACAAAAACAAGAAAAAAAAGAAAAAAAAAATGGCTTTTTGTGGCAAAACTGAATTATGGGGATGGCAAGTTCGAGTCTTTTCTAAATTATCACTAAAAAAAGAAGTCAGAAAAATAAATTCTAAGAAAACCTTGGCGAAGTTTGAATTTTTCATTTTCACTTAAAAAAAGAAAAAAAAAATCCGAAAACATAGCAAAGCAAGGGCTAAATACAGATCACTGGCATTCAAATGAAGGCAAAGAAAGATTAAAATAAAACCCAGAAATTTTCCGGCTTTAGAGAATTGTAGAAGGCGAAAATTGGGATGATATTATTACATTATTATAAATATAATTACCTCGTCTCTGAGTTGTTTAGCTTCCCCAGGAGTGACACCATCAGCGAGAGTTGTGGGAAGGAGAAAGAGCAACAAGAATATCGACAGACTTTGAAACTTGGATTTCGGAGCTTCCAAATCCATAACTATTACCATTCTTCTTCTTCTTCTTTTTCTCCTCAATCATCAATCAGTTGTCGGGCAAGACAGACTTTTAACATTAAACATTAGTTTTTGTTTTTTGCTTTTCGTTCGCGGATGATGATCTCCGCTCAACTAGTTGTCGTTATTTTTTAGCTTGGTATGGGACTGGTTGCTTTTATTTATTTTTTTGTTTATATTTTGTCAAAATATTTATGATGGAAAAAATAATAATGTGAAACGTATTTACCACGTTTATTTTATTAATTTAATTCAGTTCAACTCAGTTTTAATGTTGAATACAGTTTAAATTTATGTTTAGTAACTCTATTTAAATTGAGTTAAATTATCTAATTTAGAGTTTAACTGCTCTTAAAATTCAACAATTCAAATTATTTTTAAACAGTAAAAAGTTATCAACTCTCTTTGTTTTTCACACCTAGTAAAAAGCTAACAACTCTCTATTTTTCACACCTATCAAATACAAATTAAAATTTTAATTACACACCTTACACACCTAAACGTTAATTTAAACTACACAGTTTAAATTTATGTGTTCAAATAAAAAATTTAAATCAATAAAATTCAAACTAGACCAAACAGGGCCCAATAAATTTTGAGTGTAGGTAAAGAAAGTAATTTAGACGAGGAATTAACCAATAGGATAGTTGGAATTAACACATGGCAATTTTTGATTGGATAAGTCTAACAAGAAAATCAAAACAAAAACGGAACTATTCCCTATTACTTTTTTTTCGCTCGAATGCAAATTCTGCCTTTATTTTTCTTATTATATTCTCCGTTTTTGCTATTTCAGTCGATTTGAAATTATTATCACTTATTTGTACTCCTCTAATGTCGTTTAGGTTCAAGTCTATTTTGCGGTGTTATCGTTTATTCTGTTTGTCAGCTCTCTTTTGTTGTCGTTTTCATTTTCTTGTCGCTGACTCTTCGATAAACCATTTTCTTTAACTGAATCTTTCAATACGATTGGAATCATAGGCTCCGTTCATTTCACTGATTCGAGTTTAGAATTCGAGTTTTGTTACAGTAAAAAACTCTCACAAACAATCACATCTAACTTTTTTACTACAGTAAAAAATTCTCACATAAAATCACATCTCAATTCGAATCAGCGAACTAAACGGGCTCATAGCATATGCACATGCACAACAGATTTCACTAGCAGGAACTATTTGTGGGTTGAAACTTCATACTTAGCAATATCTCCTAAGAGTAAATTTGAAAAATAAAAAAAATAACAAAATAAAAAACAAAATTAATTAATTTAATTAGGACCATAAGATGTAGGGGTTTCGAATTAAAGGAATCCTGAAGGTTTTTTCTCCCTAAAAAAAAGGCTTTTTTTTTTTTTTACATGTATTTGTAATCAGCACCAAGAATCCCACACTAAAGGTCTGTATCATGATGCTACAGGGATTGCATAATTACAGAGATAAATTCTCAAACAAAATAAACCTAGCTGTGGATGAGAACAAATGGGTTCAGAGTAAACATTGTTGGTGCCCGAATCGAATTCGGGTGCGGAAGCGTAGCGGGAAGGCGGATCGTGTATAACAAAAATTTTCACAAAACTTTTGAGATATTTTATAGATTATATTAATTCATGCACAAATAAATTAATCGCATTAATTTATATATCAAGAACTCAATCTGGAAAAATACCTGGAAGCCGACTTGGATGATATCTTGAGTTCTTTGACCACGAACAGTCTTTACTCCAATTTTTGTGTTTAGAATACCAAAGTCTTCCACGTCAATTCCTAAATCCACGTAGACGTGTGTGTGGGCACACGTGAGACAAAACAGGTTTCTGAAACACTCGAATTTTCACAAACACCAACGCATGCACGATGTGAAATTTTTGGAGAGAAAAATATTTGCTCTCTTTTTCCTAATGAGTAAATTCGGCCACAACCTTTTTTGGGCTGAAAATATTTTAAAAATTGTCTTCACAATTTTCTATCATTCTCATATTTAAAGAGTAGAAGTCAAACTTCAAAACAGAATCAAATCCCTATCTCTGATTTGAATTTCGGAACAAAAATTCCTTCCCCTTATCTATAAGGTGGCCGGCCATACTTAGGGTTTTTTTAACCCTGTGTGTGTGTGGTGTCAAAATGCAGATAGGGAAGGAAGAGAAATCATCCTTTATCCTGTAGTCTAATTTTAATTCAAATTCGAATTTAAGTCAAACTTAAATTAATTTGAATTCTAAATTGAACAACTTATCAAATAAGTTTAAATGGATAAATCTAGATGTGTTCAAATTTAAATAATCACATTATTTAAATAATAATTAATTCTCAATTAATTATTTTTTGAGTATTCAATTTTTAGAATTTCGTAATTCTAAAATTCCCATTTTGTCCTTTGTATCTGGTAGAATTACAAGAACGACGCGGGGACTTATGGACTTATAATCCCGAACTCCAATAGAATTAATAATTAATTAAACACTTTAATTAATTAACTAATTCTAT